TTGCAAAAGTTACATTTCCACATCATATACTCACTCCACATTCAAAAAACCCATCAAAACTCATGTTTTCCAGCTTGCATTTAATATACGGCTTCTGTTTTGTCTAATGAAATACCAGTTGTTTTGATTTGTTCTGCTTTGTAATCTGTAGTTTGTAAACCATTAATCACTTGTGTAAATTGTCTTTGAGTATTTTGAAAAGTACTATACAAATACAATTTATTTATTACTAGCATTAGACTGACAGAAAGATGCTGGTACTGACCAGAGGGCATCAAGCCTACTTGAGTGGCAGGACAAAAGGAAGTATTCGGAGCCCTGTGGTTGGGCAGCGCTAGGCTACCCTCACGTGCTAATGCTCGCGACGTGTCCTTTGACTCCCGCCCCAGCAGGTGCACGGACGGGCATTATTGCGAGTGGCGCCAGTCGTGTCGTCGGTGCGGGAGGGAGCTTGTAAAGTCGCTTTGCGGGGCAGATGTTGTATGTAAATGCCCCATGGAGGGATAGGGGGGTGGTGGGGGAGGTGGAAAGGGCATGGGGTTAAAGAAAGAAAACCATATGACAAGTCAGAGTGCTGATAAAGCTTAACAGCAGATGAAATTTAGACACTGCCATGATGTGTATCCTGTGCTGTTGAACTTCTGTGTGCATCCACTTGTAAAGCCTTATCCATCCATACTTCCGCAAATAAGCCTCTGGATTTAATTATCCGTAAACAGTTAAGATCTTGTAAAGAGAAGCACTAATGTCTGCAACTCCTTAATTTTATACACATGTATAGGAGATCTGGGTGCATTTAAGAATTTTACATTTTTGTTGCAATCAAAACATTGTGATCACTTTCATGACAGCTAATTTTTTGACACAATCACATTCATGATATCAGATTTTTTTATGCAATCACATTTATGATTGCAGATTGTTTTACAAAAATATTCTTGATAGCAACTTTTCAGATATCTGAGATCTCTCAAGCTCGAACAAATCGTGATTTTTTTTTCAGGAGCAGATCTGTCTCTGATAGCTATATATCAACCTGCAGGACAGAAGGAATCTCAGATCTACCTGAAATCTCATCCTCCCTTTGGGGACACCGAAGAAATACATGCTGGATACTAATACCATATGTTGTGCTGTATGGTAAATGGGCCATCATGAAAGAAACACAAACCCACAAGAAAAGAATTCAGTGAAGCGAAGTATGCTTAGGGTTTGGGGTTAACCGTAGCCTCAAACCCCACTGGGTAAAGCCATACTCCCGGTTGTATCTCATAGAAAGCCAGCCTTATTGACAGGCACAGTTCTTGCAGTTGACCTCATCCCTGAAAGGTGGTCTTTCAATTCCAGTTCAGTGCCACCCTGGTATTACCAGTAATGTGTTTTTTTAGGGGCTGTTTCCAAGGTTTCATGGTCCCCATTGTCAATGTGTGATGTGTTAACTGAAGATAAACTGCCAAGACTTCATTTAAATGCAGTTGTTTTAGTTTTAGTATTTCTGTAGTCTGAATCTGAGATCATGTCCTCCATTCAGTGATTTAGTATTTGAATGGGAAATCTATCACTAATGTATCCTGAATCTCAACATGCTATTTTAGACATTTTAAATTTACCGATGTCCAACAACTTGATGACAATGGAGCAGAAATAACCTGACTGCAACGGGAGGAATAATGTCATCATGGACTCTATTTTAAAGGTCTATAATCATAGAGCAATGCTCAAAACAGAATATGTTTTGGTTTGGTTTATTTTTTGAGCCATCAATGTCTCACATGCGTAATGGAGAGGCTATTGAGAGAAAAATGTTGCATTACAGGCTGCTATAAATGTACTTTATCCTGTCCTACATTCATAGATTAAAGGTTTTTTTTTCTTTTATCTCTACCCCACCCATCCACCAGGTGCCCAGTCATCGTCTCATATATAGGAGAGCCTCATGTACGTTCTAATAAATGACCGATTCACCGGTATGCGAGACATGAAAGGAAGCTCACTCCTCGAGTCAATTATTACCGGAGTCGGAAAGGAGTGATGACCAGGAACAAACAAGCTGCGGTTGTCATGGTTACCCCTGGACGGTTAGACGCCACACCCCGATTGGCACCTGCAGGTTAAGGAGCTTTGGAATGTACTGTACCATCGGGTCTGAGGACATATAGAAATAAGACACAGATTAAAGGCATGGCTGGTTTTCATAGCTGTTTACCGTGGTTAGGTCACATGGTATGTCTGCAGAAAGCTACAGGCCTGAGTAGACTTGTGGCTCACATTATAATACATTATCACGTTAGTCTGAATACAGTATGTATTGAAAGAAATATTATTCCAATTATCTTCATAATGGATGTAAGTATCAGTCAGGATATCTCTTGGTCAGTATGCTTAGAAATTATAAAATGGACAAATAATTTGAGGTGGATGCTATTTTTGTACTGTATATGTGAAATTTTCCACTTGGCACACAGAATAATAACTTTTTTTTTTTTGCTCTCACTGGCAACGTCAATGCATAAATCATTGTGCTTATTTTTACGGACACGTTGTTGAACCGTGTCAGTAAATCGGTCATCTGCCATCGTGTGTTTCACAGAACCCGCCTCATATAAATCTCTCAGATGAAGATTGAAAGCTGGTGTCCAAAGCTGTTTACAGCGCTCAAAATCTTTTCTCACAATGTGTGGGCCAACGACCCAACCACGGACAGCTCCAGTGTGCTTTTTATCATTTGGAATAACGATCTGTTTCTTGCTGTGGGAGTTGATATTCACAGGCTGTTCCTAGTACAGTATTTGGACCAGTACTGATAGGTGTACCCAACTTTGCGGCCCAGGAACCCAGCATATACAGAACACACAGCATTAAGCTCTTTGGGGCTAGAGGGCTAGTCTTTAAAATAGATCTCCCTCGTTGTTCTTGGACCTATCTGTCAGTAAGCCTACAAATGTTTTACTTGAAGAACACCTGGATTCAAACAAAGTTGGACCTGTAAGCGTTGGTCATTCCCAAACAGTTTAGCTAGTCAGTTTTAGTGAGTGTGGAGCCAGCCAACTTGTAACGGGAATAAAAAGAATAGGTCAGAGCTATCTTGTGATTGTTATTGTTGTTTTGTGTGCTTGAGGGAAGATATTTGAGTGCATTTTCACACTGTTATGTGTGTCATGGGAAAATTAATCCATTTATATCGCTATGGTGAAGCATTTAGTTACATGGTATGCACGATAGACTCGAATGGATAATTTTCTTTTCCCTCCTGCCCAATTTTCCCATAATGCCATGACTGTGTTTAGTTTTTTTTGGGGTGGGGGTGGGGGTGGGGGATGAGCAGAGAGCACAAACTAGTAAATAAATACAGACAAAAATGAATTTCTTTCCTGGGAGTCACAAAGCATTTACAGACACCAACACGGATACCAGAAGAAATAAATAGTAATAAATAATTTGAAAAAACACATACTGTCACCTCACTTATTTTTGGTTCATCAAATTACTTGATGTATGATGTGAAAGCATTTATAATAGCACTTTAATGTGTTGGCTTGGAGGAAAGCACAGTGCTTCTTGTTGTAGCTTTGGTAGTACTGAGGTCATTCTGAAGCGCTTTGAGAATGTGGTGAAGAATATCGTATAATTGGGTAATTATTCTCCTGTCTTCATTTATATGCAGTTGCTTTCTGGGGGAGTTGTATGAGGACACTGGTCTGAAAATAATCACCATCAGTTTGGAATCAAAATATTGACTGTGGGAACGGTGAGGCTATTTCGGCTCCAAGAGCATGACGTATGCAGTTTCACGCTTCCCTTGTTTAGAATCACGAACTGATACCCTCTGGGTTCTTTGGACAGTGTTCAGTAGTCGTGTGCTTTTACCACATAAAAGCTCGCACTTGAATATGAACGCATATTTCCATTTAAAAGGCCACAAACCTTGCCTAAATTTGAACACCAAAGTGTAATAGTGACCAAGGAACTTGATGTATCACCAAAAGGTTTCAATTCGCATATGGTACCCTGTTGTCATACCACTTCTATTATGTTCTGGAATGCATGGTGCATTAGTGGAATTGGAACTGTTTAAACACTCATACATTACTTAAAGATAAATCAATTCAAGTGGAGTTGCTAAATCAAACTGTTGTCCGGTAACTAATGCATTCGGGTAATTTCTATTCCTGTTTTATTCCAAACTTTTCGGCTCATTAGCATGATTTTTCTTAATCAAATACGCATTTTCAGGCAGACCATGTATTTTTTTCCGTATTGCTATTGGTAACAGATTAGGAAATTCATTCAGACCTCATGAGAACATTTGCATACCACTCCTGTCCCTCCTTGACATTGCCCTCAAACAAATTAGTCCAGCAAAAACAAATGGTGCATTACGCTGTTTTCTGTTGTGGGGCATATGCTAACAATTCAAATCAAAAGGGCTCTTCTCTCTGTCTAGAGAGGATTTTTAAAATCATGTCAGAGAACACTTGGATAGACAATACCGTAGAGTGTCATTTGTTTATGAATCACTTGTAGAACAGGAAAAGGGTAGCGTTTGGGGAGATAAGCAGTGCGATTAATTCAATCCACACACAGAAGTACGGCGCTGAGAATTCTGGGGGCCGAGGCATACGGGAGGTCAAAAAGTACAGCTGTGAAACTTGCTGTGGCCAGAACAGGAAGATCAAATCTTAGATTTATTCTTTTACATTGAGGACAGTGTACATTCTTATATCTCAAGTGCTGTGTAGTTCTGTAAAGCTTTTTGGGTCCTATAGCTGTTATCTATATTCATCAGCAGATCCCCAAGTTTAAGTTGAAGATTTAATAACCTTATATAATTGCCTGCACAACAAAATTATTTGAAAATGGGAAAACAGCATAATTAGGTAGAACAAGTATATGATGTATGGAGTTAACAAGGCTTACATTTCCACATTTTATCCATTTATACAGCTGGGTGTTGGCGAAAGCAATTCAGTTTCAGAGTCTTGCTCAAGGGTTCAACAGTAGGCCCTTAACTGGGAATCGAACCCACAACTTCTGAGTTGGAGGCCCAGCTCCCTAACCACTATAATGAACTGCAGCTTTCTCTAGCTGTTAAAATGGAGCTATTTCAACGGGTCAATATTCCAGAGCTTTACGTAGTCTTTTTCATTTTTAGTCATAGGAATTCTGATACATAAAGATCTCAGCTTGCTGTTCAGCTGTTGAATCATGCCATGTTCCATTGTAACCCCTCAATTGTTTGAGTGAGCATCCAGACAGGCTTTCTGAGTGAGGCAGCTATTGCCTTGAGGTGTAAACCAGAGGTGTAGAAATCAGAACGATGGCCCCTTTTAGAATGGATATCCCAGCTAGCCCCAAAAGTTTAGAACCAGAAGCAACGAATCACAAACTCTGAAGGAAAATACATTTTTTTGTTTCAACTGCATTTTCCATTCAACCTCGACATTAAAGCAGCATTGTATCCTATTCAGTGCTTGCTGAAGGCCTGGGGTCTTCTCATTGCCCCTGAAGAGCCAGAAGACATTGTTCTACGTGGTCAGAGCTGGTTATTTGTATTGGACCTGTCAATCCCATGATGCACTGCAAGCCTCAGCACCATGGGTCAGAGTGGACTGGGGGTGAAGGTCACGTGATGGTCTGGTCCAGGGACATTTCAACGCAACTAACAAACGTTGAACTTCAGCCATCAGGGCAGGGCCTAGCATTCGAAACTACTCATGAGTATTCAAACACCAGCTGGGCCATGAAGCTTTTCAAGTGGAGCTCCTTTGATTATTTCACTCTGAAACTGCAAGGTCATTCATCGTGTTGAGAAGCAGCTGCGGCGGTATGGGAAAAATGACAGAGCAGGAAACACACGGAGACCAGAGATCTCAGCGCCATCTCTTCTCTTTCATTCAAACAAGAGCGTCCTACACGGTCACTAACATGCTTGCAAAAACCATCAGCACTTGCACTCCCTCAAGTCTTCGTGCTGATGAAAGGAATTTGATGATTTTGACAGCGTTGTTGAAAGATATCTTGCAACAGGCACAGGTCAGCAGAATTTAGAGTCTCATGCATAATTTAACCTTTCAAATGTTCAAGCCGTTTATCCTTTCTTTAATGTATTTACTTGGAGATTATTTGCTTGAACAAAACTGATTTACCATGTAATTTACTTAGTGTGTTGATTTAACAAGAAGAAGCACTGGCAGGGATACATTGTTCTATCTGTTGGTTCTTTTTTCTTCCATTGGCAAATTATTTAATGTAGACAAAGTACAGTGAAATGTTCCTCTGTGTTTCAGGAGGAAAGCCTTTCTGTATGCTAAAGGGGGCACCAGATTATCTTTGTTTTTGTCTTACTTTTTCCCTTTTCTTTGTCTTTGGCAGAGTTGAAAGCCAAAACATCCTCACTCCACAAAGCGAAAGTTCGTGAATGTTTTCCATCACCCACCATCACCCCACACCCCCCCCATGAAAAATGGGGAACCGAGGGAAGAGGGAAACTTCTGGGGCGCATAAAATTGGGGTCTAGATAAAAGTACCTCTTCATCCCGCCCCCCCCCGCCCCACACCACCCCCAAATAAAATCTCCGTTCTAAATCCAATTGCATGACTGTGGCTGAAGGAGCGGTTTTGTTTCTTGCGCCTGCAGTTGCCCGTCACTAATCGAATTTAATGCAGTGCCCAGGCCTGGAATAAAGCAGCAGGCCCGAGAGATATACAGGCCCCGAGAAATTCTTCAGCCCCTCTGGAATGTGACATCAAAGGGACTCATGTATTAACAAGTGGGGATAGCCCGTTGAACAAAAGCGTACTTTTAGCGGCATTGTGTTTAACTGGGGGGGAAACCAGAGGCAAATTTTTTTTTTTAAAAAGGTAAGGGGTTCAGGTCATGGACGTTCCCCCTTTTTTTTTTGCCCATTTATAAGTCGGTTGCAGCTGCCAGGGGCCACCGGGTGTTTTATCTGACACGGTTTTTGTGGCGTTTTATAAACTGCGGCTCCCCGAAAGAGGGGAAACCTTCTTTATTATTCTGCCCATTTGTCTTCAAGTGAACTGCCTTGAGTTAATGTATTATTCAGCCATGCTTGTGCAAAGAAAATGAGCAGTAAGACTGGCACTGAGACGGACAGAACATTCCAGTAGCTTGCAAAATATCAGATAGCTCACATTTAAAATTTAAAATTTTTTAAAAAAAATACAATTTTAATTTTAAATCCTGTTACCTGTCCAGACACCTCCACATACAATCCCAGAAAGTTAGACTTTGATCAGATACCTGCAGCTATGGATGCATTCAAACAGTACCATACATTACAGTGTTATGGTCAAGTCCATTTCAGCTCAGCAAATTAATTTGGATTCATTCACTCCTTGAAAAATTTTCATAGTACCCAAAATGATTTTCCCCAACTCATGCACCTCATTTCCATTTACATCTAAATTAATTGTCTGAATTGACAGAATGGGAAGAGATTGGCTTAACACAAAAACTAGATACCTACTGAATTTGCTCATGCTTCCACAGGCAGCTCTCTGTATGGGAAATGAGCCTACAAATATCTGTGTACGAGCCCACTTTCCATCATGCTATCTGATTGTTCCCAAGTATCCCTGGGATATACATGAGTCATGGAGTCACATGGTCTCCGATCAACACCTGCTGTGAAGATCTGTAGCTTCGCCTCCCATGACAGGGTCGGACCTGCTTCCCTCACAACCACAAAGCACCACTTCATGAAAAGACACGGAATTACTTCACCCAGTGTAAAAACAAGGGAAACTAATCATGCTGTTATTTTGACCCCCGGGAGTGATTTTGCCGCCCACGACAGAGTGAGCTGAACTGGTTATCTCTCTTGTTGCAAAGCCATCTGGGTATATTCTATCCCTGCTGGATCAACACGCAGACAAGTCTCCGTTTCCTCTTTTCGAGACACTGCTTCTTCAGCCATGCTTGCTCTGTTCCTCCTTGTGCGAGTCTCAGTACCCTTCTGTGTCATCCAGTTTCAGAAAACAGGGCGTTTGCCTCTGACCCTAGTACAGCTATGCCCGCACGTCGGATCCAAATGACTCAGCAGCAAATGTGAGAACAGCCAGGTCTCCGCTGAGAAGCACAGGCCAAGTTTATCTCTCCACTTTCGTGGATAATCAATTAGCACATGCTTCCACGCCGTCTGTACATTTTCTCTTGACATTGCGTGACACAGGTTTGCGCTTCTCATCATATCTGTGAGACAGGTAAGTAAATAAACAGATGTGTAGTGTAGTGTTTCAGTGCTGGGTTTGCTATTTTCTTCCACCGTTAAACTCGTAACCTCTCCGAACATCTGTGAAATTGCTCTCTGAAACGTCAATTTGACTTGTGTCAATCCGTTGTCATTGGTCCAAGCTTTCTTCATGTGTCTCATCGGTGATTCTGGACCGCAACCCGGTAGTGATTGCAGACCAGTTAACGAAATTATTCAGAATTGCAGAAGGTCGACAATCTTTCTTTTCCCACAATGAAAAGTCTTTCAACCGGTTAAAAAATTGATCCAAGCCCTCATTACTTGTCTCTCTGGTGACTTTTGAACTGCCAGTTGGTAGCGATCGTAGAGCATTTATCACAAATGATGCACTGAAATTTCCCACAATCTTTTTTCCCATAATGGTTCAAAACGAGCCAGTGATTTGGAATGCATGGCTGTACAGCTTTGCCCTTTATTGGGTTCCCATTCAGTACCTTCCAACGGTTAGACCTCTCAGTTTTTCCTACCACAACCACAGCATTTTCATTGGCACCTAATGTACACATATACCCAAACGGTCTTACTTACCTACCTCATGCCATTCTAAAGCTGCTTAGTTGAGCTTCTTCCCAGCAGTGAATAATCACCCATGGTTTTGATAAATACTGTATATATCATAAAAAATATACATAAAGAAGTGCTTATTCAGTTATTCTTATCTCTTGAAAGGTTTATAATTAAAGATCTCTATCATGGGCCTAAGAATAAAACAACACTTCCTATGAATATACATATACTGTAGCTTAAATAATATTGCTGTTAGGGACAGGTCAGTTTGCTTTACAGTAGCTGAAGGCCGAGGGAACGGGACAAATCCCCTTTTTATATACAGGAACTTGAGCAAATTTGAATGGGATTAAAATGAAATCATTCATAAAGTGAGTGTTTGAACCAGTATCCTCAGCGGCAAAGCGCTGGGATCCGAGTCAATGGTTTCCCGTTAGCTCGTGCCAATGTAAATATGGGAGCGTCACTCCCTGCACCGGGTCAGGCAGGATCTCTTCCTCCACGGCTGCACCTCTAATTAACATGCAATTACTGCCCTCCCTCAACTCCCCCCCTCACGCCAGAATGGACAGGAAAGATGAAAATCCGCTGTTCACTCATGGGAGAATCCATTTGCCAGGGGCTCAGGTGAGACTACATGAAGGATGTAAGGTGGGGATCTGTTTTTTGTCAAATTTAAAGCTGTGCAACATGTTCCCAGAATCCATCAGGACACGATGTGCTGACGTACTTGCTAGTTCCACTTATGGAAACAAACACACTTTTGTTCAATTAACATGACGGGTTTTTAAAAGATCAAACAATTTCCGTTTTCAATTTCAGAGCTCATCAAATGAGTCATTCATTAAGTTAATTTTATCCAGTAGAACTGGATTTCTTTTCTGTGTGTGTGTGTGTGTGTGTGTGTGTGTAACATCCATTTAGATCTAGCGTCTGGAACTAAACCACTGTTTCCTGGGGGGAAATAAAGCACTTATTTTCAACACAGACCCTATTAACATTTACCTCATGTTGTCAGAAGCATGGAAACAAGTGAAAGCATTCATAATTTATTTTCTCTCACTGTTTCATGATGAAGTTTTTTATTGTTATGGGCAAATATGTGGTCTTTGTTAGGTCTGGATTGTATCCTGTATTGTGAGAAAAGTAAGTGGCTAATTATGACACCATCAAATATGTATATGCATATTGTTATAAAACTACTTATAAAAACATTAGGCAGCTCATCTCATCATGCAGTTGCAGCAAATAGATTAAATGCATTGGTGCCGGTAAAGACAGGTTTCTCCT